AAAAAAAACTAAAAACAAAAGCAGGAGGGAGGGGAAAGGGGGTGCACCGAGGCAGGAAGATTTCTGTGGTTTGAACTACACAGAACAGGGTAGCCAGGATCGCACTGTGGCTAGTATGTCTATTAGAGATGGGTTGAGGGGTGTCCGTGGCTGACTGGGGGAAGCAAGGCTTGCTCCAGGAAAGATCAGAATTTTAACATAGCCCTGGGAAAGATATCGTTGTTGTTGTTGTCTGTTTGGAGACAAGACTTCACTGTGTAGCTTTGGCTGGCCCGGAACTCACTCTGTAGACCAGGCTGACCTCAGACTCATAGAGACCCACCTGCCTGTTGCCTCCAGAGTGCTGGCATTAGAGGCGTGCGCCACCACACCCAGCTTGGGGAAAATATCCCTTCCTGTGTCTTTCCCCTTAGCCGGCGTGGGAGCCTGTATCACAAGTGTCGCACAGAACACTCCCTCTCCTCTCCTGCTCCAGGTGACTGGCAAACCTCTGTTTCCTGGTGACTCGGAGATCGACCAGCTCTTTCAGATCTTCCGTATCCTGGGAACCCCCAGTGAAGCCACATGGCCAGGAGTCTCCCAGCTGCCTGATTATCAGAGCAGCTTCCCCGAGTGGACCAGGAAGGCGCTGGAGGAGATCGTGCCTAGTCTGGGACCAGAAGGCAAGGACCTGCTCCTGGTAGGTACAGTGGGCAGGGACAGCACCTCAGCAGCTCCGCAGCCTCTCTCTCAGTCACCCTTTACATAACTGAGACTGGGCTGGGCTGGGCTCTTCTGACCTTTGTACACCCTCGGCTTGTCCCTGTTTGTATTCGGTTAGGAGTTTCTCTCTTGATATCCCGTGTTTGTCTCCCCTTTGGAAATGTCTCTGAAGTAATTAGCTTTGCTTTTGTGTCATGGCTGCAATCTCTTCTTCCTAGTTATCCCGTGTCTGACTCTCTCTCGTGGGCTTCCTGCCCCATCTAGATGGAGCACTTCCATAGGCAGAGACCACACCTCCTCCTGCCTCAGTGTCTCCCCCCCATACCGTTCTCAGAGGTCGGTCTTCACAGGGGCTTGGCTGTGCAGAACAGGCTGCTCCCTACCTTCTGGACTCCTGCCACTGTATTGACCTTTCAGCTGCCCGCAGGGTCTCAGATAAAAGCTGCACCAGTTTGCCCACAAAGCCTGCCATCCCCATTTCTGTCTTCACCCTGGTGTCAGGCCAGGGAAGGAAGGGCAGGGTCTCTGTCAAGACCATGGTCAGCTTACCAGAGGTCTGTGTGTGTTGTCTACCAACGTAGTACCATCAGAATGGCATGCACTTCCTGCTAAGGCCCCTTGTCCTTCATATGCTCTTCCATGGCATCCTGCCTGGGTGATGTACCTGAGGCTAGAGAGCCGGACAGGCCTGACTGACCCCTGGTTGTGTTAGCTCCTCCTTCTCCTTGCTCATGGTCTGACCTGTACCTCCCTGCCCCCCAAAGCGTGCATTCTTTGGACAGGTTCAGGGACTGCTGTCTTAGCATGAAACATACCTGCCCTTAGTCAGAGAAGCAGGTAGAACCTGGAGGGGGCCTGGATGAATCATAGGCCTGCAACCACAACTAATGGTTTAACCTCAGTTGTGGGAGCATCCAGAGCTGTCTTAAAAGCTGGGACACGTGGGCTTAGAAGACGATTCAGCTGGCAAAGTGCTTGCCTTGCAAATGTGAGGACCTGATTTAGGATCTCCAGAACCCACACAAAGCCAGGGGGCAGGGTTGGAGGGACGGCTCAGTGGGCAAAGCTCTTGAGACACAATTGTAGCATTTAAGACGTCATCTAAACAGGAATCTATAAGCCCAGGGCTCCCGGGGGAGGATGAGGACCTGAGACGGGAGAATTCCTAGCATTCACAGGCCAGCTAGCCTGGCATATGTGTGTAGGCAAACAACAGAGAGATGTGTCTTGGGGCCGGAGTGATGGCTGTTCTCGCAGAGTTCAGTTCCCAGCAGCTACACCAAGTGGCTGATAGTCAATGTAACTCTAGTTCCAGGGGACCCGATGCCTTAGGCCCCCATGGGTGCCGCACCCATGTGCACATACACACATTCACAGACATACACAGAGAGACACACAGGCACCCAGGAGGCACTGGCTTCACACGGTTCTGGGTTTAGGCAACCTCTCAGGGACTTGGCCTTTCCACTAGGACCTGTGAAGGGAGTTCCTCTCCCTACCCTGGTTGCACCAGGTTCAATCTCTTGTCTTTCCTCCTCAGCAACTCCTGCAGTATGACCCCAGCCGGCGGATCACAGCCAAGACCGCCCTGGCCCATCCCTACTTCTCTACCGAACACTCCTTAGCACCCCGCCATTGCATGGTGGAGCATTTCTACCACTGAGAACATGTATGTGGGCCCCACCTATTTCCAATAAAGCATATTTGCAGAGAGCATACACCTGTGAGAAATTTTATGTCTGTCATCAGAAGGCTGGGTTGGGTTCATCCTGCTCGGACATTGGCTACTTCCTGTGTTGTTTGTTGGATTTAATGGTGCACTTTCAAAAGTCATGCAGGTGTTCCGTACGTGGAGTGGGGTGGGATGGGGGTAGCATTGGACAGCTGGTGGGTGTCAGGTTAGTCCCCAGCCTGCCTGCTGGGAAGCCAGGCCCGAGGACAGCGCGCCCTCTGCTGGTCTTGATTTTGTTTTCAAGTGTGGGAAGAGTTGAGTCCACGTCAGAGGACTCAAGACGGAGGAATAGTTGGGGCACCTGGATATGTTCTAAGTAGTTGTCTGTGGATGTCCTTCTGTGTGACAAGTGGGAAAAAAAATGTAACTTGTCTCTGCATTGTCTGGTGTCATTCTGTTTGCCAACAAAGGGGAGGTTGACAGAGGGCTGGAGACAGTTCTGATAGGAGTTGAGGGAACAGGGGCCTTCCATGGTCTCTCTTCATGACCACCTGTTTCTAAGGCAGGTGAGCTGGACCCATCTGCCCCACCTAACACATACTTTGGGGAAAAATTCCCAAGCAGGTTGCTCCTGGGTTCAAATCCTAAACAGACTGATCCCGCATACCCAAATGAGAGCAAGACACGGCACCAAGATAATTCATTTATTAGAAGCGGTGTGGGTGGGGGGAGGAACAATGAAAATCCCCGAGTTTGGAGACAGAGCCCAATACCATAAATGTTTGAGTAGTAAGAGGTGGATGGATGGTGGGGGGGACCCACTGCCTGGGATTACACTGCTCCAGGCCAAGGGGGGGTGCACGCATCCTCCCCTCCCCTCCCCCCTGCACGACCCTCATTAACGCACGCAGGAGCGTGGCAGGGTGGGGGAGGCTGCCCGGTAGCAGCGATAGCCTTCCAGCACGGCCGGGAGTAGCAGCAGGCCACTTAGAGGGTCTTTGCGGCAACGACCCATGGCCTCCTTGTAGCTCAGCCGCTCCTTGGTGATGGGGTCTGTCAAATCCTTCTCGTAGACCGATTCATCCTGCAGGAGCTGGCCCAGGTCTTCACTGATCATCCCGCAGAGCACAGCCTGAGGGACGGGGATGCGTCCCGTCCTCTTGGGGTCAATGAGGCCCCCAGTCAGGTGCTGCGCCAGCAGGTGGGGAAGCACACTTTCTTGGGGCATCCAGCCCTTCTGGATGGCCTCGCCTACCGACAGCCTCTTCTTGGTGACTGGGTCCTCAATGCCAGTGAAGGCCTTCTGGGCGTTGAGCAGCCGTTGGGTGGAGGTGTTCTCGATGAGTCCCCGCTCCACCGCCTTGTGCACAGAGTATCGCTCTCGACTGAGAAGGTCCACAATGCCCCCTGTGGCTGCCTGGGCCTCCAACAGCTTCTGCCCAGTGATGGGGTCCAGCATGTTCTTGGCCACGGCCGCCTTGATGCTGCACTTGCTCTCCGTGGTCGTGTCGTAAACCCCGGCGATGGGGAAGCAGTCGTCAGTGAGCCCGAGAGAGAGGCCCGAGGAGAAGAGCCCAGTACTCTGGGGGCCCGGGGAGCAGAGTGGGGACTTGGAGATGATGGAGCCAATGGAGAGTGAGGAACAGGGCTTGGTCTCCCCCGCCACCAGCAGGGCAAACTCGGAGATGGGGAGGCGGCCGTCCTTGTACCTGTGGTATTCCTCTTTAGAAATGCGACGGCAGCGGAGGGCAGCCTCAATGGAGTATTGCTTCCCGCTCTTGCGGTCCAAGAGCACAGACTCCTCCCCACAGGGGCTGGAGGTGGTCACTTCCTCCCAGTCGCACTCGAGCTCCTGCAGCTGGAGGTACTGGCCTCTGTCGATGATGCCCCTCTTATAGGCCTCGTACGGAGACATGTCATTCCCGGTCTCGGGTTCCAAGATGCAGATCTTGGTTGAAAGGTTGGTCTCCCGGGTCTGGGTTTCCTGGTTGAGTTCCTCCCGGCTCACCTTGGTGTGCAGGTCCCGTAGGGTCCTCTCCTTCTCATAGATCTTGTCCTTTTCATGAAGAATGGCGGCCTCGAGCTGCGAGAGGGCCTGGCCACGCTGGGCCGCCTTCTGGCGCTCGTTCTCCGTCTTCTGGCTTAGCAGCCTCCCCTCCTCCTGCAGTTCCCGGGCCTTCTGCTGCTTCTGCCGCTCCAGGTCTCGCAGTTCTTGCTGCAGTCGCCCACAGTCCTGGCTCGCCTGGTCCCGGGCCTTCTGGAGATCAGCTTCCTCCCGGGACCAGGACCTCCTCAGAGCCTCAGCCCGGTCAATCCTCTCCTGCAAGCTCCGCACCTCCTCCTCCCGGGCCCGGTGGGCGGCGCGCTCCCGATTGAGGGTCTCCCACACTCGGGCCCTTTCCCCCTCCAGCACAGGATCCTTCTCCACCCTGATCACCTCCTTGTAGATGGTCTTCTCCTGGGATTTGGTTTTCTGGAGGACGTCAACCTGGACCTGCAGGCTCTTGCACTCCCGGTGGAGCTCCATCACCCGGCTCTTCTCTTGGTCCAGCTCCCGCCTCAGGGCTTCCGTAGACCTCTCCAGATCTGGATCCTTCTCTAACTTGACCACTTCCTCCATGATGATCTTCTCCTGCAGGGCGGGAGGCCGCTTCTCCAGCTCCTGGATCTTCAGGGTCAGCTGCCGCAGCTCCTTCTCAGCAGCCAGCTTCTTGCTGCGGTCCTCCTGGAAGCTGAGCAGGGCCTCCTTCTCCTCCACAGCGGCGCTCAGCTGCCGCACCTCCAGCTCCAGCTGCCGCCGCCGCCCCACTTCCTCATCCAAGCTCCGGCTCAGCCGGCTGTGCTCCTCGTGCAACTTGGGGTCCTTCTGGGTGACCACCACCTCCTGCACTACAATCTGCTCCTCCGGCCGCCTCCGCTCCAGCAGCAGGTACTTGTTCTGTAGCTCATAGAGCACGTCCTCGGCGGCGCGCCTCTTCTGGACCGCCTCCCGCACCTCCTGGCGGAGCCTCTCGGCCTCTTTCTCCAGCACGGGATCCTTCTCGTGCCGCACGACTTCTTTGCTCACCATCTTGGTCTTCACCTTGGACCGTTCCCGCTTCCACTCGTCCCGTTCTCCCTGCAGCCGGATCAGCTGCTCCTGGCAGCGCCCATGGGTGTTAACCAGCTCATTGAGCTGAGCCTTGAGGCGGTCAATCTCACGGAGCACTTCTGGGTTCTTCTCGTGCCTCACCACCTCCTGGGTCACCTCCTTGTATTCCACCACGGGCTTCTGAGCGCGCAGGGCCTCCAGCTCCGGCAGCAGCTTCTCCACTTCCCTTTCCACGCCGCTCCTCTTGCTGCCTGTCTCCTGCAGCTGGGCCCGGAGGCGGGCGATCTCCCGCTCCGTCTCAGGGTGCACCTGGAAGATCTCGTTGACGCGCTCCTGCAGTTGCACCTTAGGCTTCTGCTTCTCCACCACCCTGTACTTGTCCTGCAGGTCTTGCAGTTCCCTGGCCAACGTGACATTCTTGTTCTTCTCCTCCTCCAGGAGGCTTCTCAGCCTGGACGCTTCCTTGAGAAGGCCAGGGTCCTGCTCCACCCTCTTGACCTCCTTCACGATGACCTTGGGCTCCACGGAGCTGATCACCAGTTCCAGGTCTTTGATGCGAGCCTGTATCTTGGCAACCGCCTCCCTCGCCCCCTTCCTCCGCGCCGCATTCTCCTCAACCTGTAGCCGCAGAGTCTGGACCGCCTTGACCATCTCCAGATCCTTCTCCACTTTGACCACCTCCTTCACCACCACCTTCTCCTTCACGTTCGTCTCCTTCTGCTCCAGGGCCAGCAGTTCATCCTTCAGTTCTTCCAGCTGGGCCGTCAGGGCGCTGTTCTCCCCACGCAGCTGTTGCATCTCACCGTGCAGCTGGGTGGCCTGGCTGTCCAGGCCAGGGTCCCTCTCGATTTGGGTGACCTCTTTGGTCAGCAGGTGAGGCTGCATGGTCCTCCTCTTGCCCTCCAAGTGGACGACCTTTTGGGCCACCACCTCCAGCTCCGCCTGCAGGCGGGCCCGCCTCTGGCCCTCCTCCTCCACCTGGGATGACATTCTAGCCACATCGCTCTCCAACTGGGGGTCCCGGTAGAATTCCACCACTTCCTTCTCTTCCAGCCTCGCCACAGGCTGCTGGGTCCTCAGCTGCAGCAGCTGCTGCCTCTGCTGCTCCAGCTCACGCTGCGCCTCAGCCACCCGCTTCCGCTCTTCTTCTAGCTGGGACTTCAGGGCCTCTGACTCTGCCCCTGCTTGCGCTGGGCTGCTGGACCCCTGCCTTGCTCTGTGTGTCACTTGGATGCCCTCACTAAGCTCCTGCAGTGAGTGGGGGGGGGGAGGGAGAGCGCTGAAGTGAGTAAAGACTGGAGCCCCATTTTTCTGTACCCCACCTCTGAGGTCAGAGACCCTCCCTGCTTTCTGAAACTAGATCCCGGGCCATGGAGCTGAAGACATGGAATGCTGAAGACACGGGATTTTGAGCTCAGTTGGATGGTATTAGGGTACAAGGCAGGGTCCAGGTCATTTGCAGCAGAGAGTGCCCACGGGACCCTCCCAAGCCTCCCTGGCTCTCAGGCCCATCCTTCTCCAGTAGATGCTGAAATGTGGCTCGGGAAGGTAAAAGGTGGTCAGCCACGGGAACCATAGAGAGCTCCTGGCTTCTGCTCTATCAGCAACGGAGACCCCAGATGGCCTGTCACCAGTGTGACTAGGCCCTAAGGCTGATGGCTCTCTGAGGCTAGAGGCCAGGTCCCCATCAGAGGATTGCCTATGGCTAAGCAATGACTAGAGGCCATCTCCAGGGCCTGCCTGGAACAGGGACAGGCCTGTATGAACTTCTAGAGAAATCTTCATGTCCAAACCCTCCAGGGACTAGAGGCTGCAGGAGAGAAAGGATGACATCCAGACCAACACCAGGCCAGATGGGCTGCCGTGGGCACAGGGTGGGCATTGTCTCTTTACCTTCTCCAGCATCTTCTTAGCAAACTCCAGCTGGTACAGCTGCTGCTGCTGGGCCGCCGTGA